AGAGGACCAGATTCCCTTCCCAAACTTAATAAAAATATTAAACAATGAAGAAAGYGAAAAGCAAAATGCAGACAGACCAAACGTGATTAAGAGTATGTACATTGTATGGTTTGCATTGTTCTATTTTTTTATTATTATTATTTATGATGTTGCTGGACAGCAATGAAATACTGAAACCTGGGCTGAAGCTCTTTTTTTTTGTTGTTGTTATTTTCTCTAACTCAAACAGGATAAAGAAATGGAGATGATGACTGAGAAACAGAGAGATGCCAGGTATTTCTGGAACAACACCCCTGAAAAAGGTGACTATGAGGCTGTAGAAGCCCTTATATCTATGAGTTGCAACTGGAAATCAGACTTGAAAAAATATGTAGATATGAGACCTATCACTCCAGCATCCGATATGTCGGAAGAGAGCGATGAGACTCTGCTCCCCGGAGCCRCCGACTTCAGTGCTATCCCGGCCTTTGTAAGTGTTAATGCTGCACGTGCGTTTTCAGCCGCCAGCGCGGCSATAAACGTGTTGCTAATGATCTCCCCTCCCGCTTTCCTTTCCCCCGCGCAGTGCCTGACGCCGCCGTACAGCCCCTCGGATTTCGAGATGTCGCAGGCGCCGCCGGCGGCGTTGGAGAGCGGGCGGCCCCCGCGCCGCGACGCGCAGGGCTCCGCGTTGGCGCCCAGGCCCCCCAAGGCGCAAGCGACCAGCGTCATCCGCCACACGGCCGACGCTCAGCCCTGCGACCGCCGGCTCTGCCCCGTCAGGGCGGCCGCTGTGCTCCAGTCCGCGGGCGGCGGCGCCGGGGCGGCCGGGGACGAACGGAGCCGCGAGGAGGCTCACGCGMCCGCCGGCCCCTTGCTGCCTCTGGAGGGAAGAGCCGCGGATGCAGCTGTGGGACCCGCGGCGGCAAAGCCTGCGCTCGGCAGGGCCGAAGCTGCTCCCGGAGCCGCGCAGCCGTCGGCGGCGCCCCTGTGCCCTGCTGGAGGGAGTGGAGCCGCCGCCGTGCCCGTCCTCTGCCAGATGGTGCCCCTGCCCGGCAGCAGCCCCGTGGTGACGGCGGTGGTGCCCGGCGCGGCGCCCAGCCACGCGTCGGCCCTGTGCCAGCCCATGGTGCTCATGGGCGCCCCGGTGCCCAAAGGCGCTGTGATGTTTGTGGTGCCCCAGCCCGTGGTGCACAACGCCAAGGCGCCCGTTATCAGTCCCAACGGCACGAGACTCTCTCCCATCGCCCCTGCTCCGGGCTTTGTTCCTTCCGCGGCAAAAGTTGCCCACCCGGTTGATTCCTCAAGAATAAGGAGTCACGTCTGCAGCTACCCGGGATGTGGGAAAACCTACTTCAAGAGCTCCCACCTGAAGGCCCACGTCAGAACACACACAGGTCGGTCGCCGCTGCCGGGCGTTAGCAGCTCGTGTTGCGAGCTGGGGCTGAGCGCTGCTCGCCTGGCTCTGGAGTCTCCTGGCTCCCTGTGGCATGGATTTCGAGGCAGCAGGGAGGCGTTTCTACTAGCGCACATTGTGCCGCAGCCTCCTCTGCGGCAGGGAGCTCCCACAGGGAAAGCTGGTTCAGCAGTTTGTTTGTGCTGGGCGTCCTTACGTGTCAGGAGGCGTAAGCCTCTCTCAGGAGTGGYGGAGGAAAGGCCGTGTCCACGTGGATGTGCTTTTCCATAGGTGCTTAGTAGGCATCTCCACAAGACTGCCTTTGTCAGAAGGGGATGAAATTTCAGTGGGAAGAGGTTCTCTTAGGAGAGAACTGGAGTCTCCATGCCAAACTCTTCCTGTGTTGGTTATTTTAGAGTAATTCCAGCTCTTAAGAGTAGTAAGGGGCTATGTGCAAAAGGAGCCATGTGCTTTCACGCTGGCTTACAGCTACGTAAAAAAGGCACTAGTGTAATGTAAGGGGACAAGTCACATTCAAGGAGGTCTTTTTGGTAATGCTACTTCATCATCATCTATAAGTGTACAGCTGAGGGTGCAAATCCAGCTGTTTTGAGACTAGAGAAGGTTTTAAAATCTTTGCTTTTTTTTTGTCCACCCCCCAGAGGGTGCCTAACCCTTTGTGCTACCTAGCTATCCAAGTATATATATCCAAGTATACTGTTTTCCACATTGCATATCCATACCTTTATATATAGTCAGATATATCAGTAGCAATAACCTTTGTGTAGATTCCAGTTCAGCTGTCATCATGGAAACTTGCAACTGGAAGTCAAAAGCCGCGGCAGGGGAGTTGGTGCTCAGCGGGAATGTTGGTGCCGAGCGCTCAYGATTTCTCCCCTTCTCTCCCCCCGCAGGAGAAAAGCCCTTCAGCTGCAGCTGGAAAGGCTGCGAGCGGCGCTTCGCGCGCTCCGACGAGCTCTCCCGCCACCGCCGCACGCACACGGGCGAGAAGAAGTTCGCGTGCCCCATGTGCGAGCGGCGCTTCATGCGCAGCGACCACCTCACGAAGCACGCGCGGCGCCACCTCTCCGCCAAGAAGCTGCCCAGCTGGCAGGTGGAAGTGAGCAAGCTGGGCGACGCGCCCGCGCAGTGAGAGCCCGCGCCGCGGCGGCCGCTGCCGCCGCACACGCCCCTCACCGAATAGGCTTTGGCTGCACGTCTGTGGCTCCCCGTGGCGGCTGCCGAGGGCGCTGCTGCGGAAGGCGGAGGGTTGTGCTCGGCCGCCGGGGCGAGCGGCGTTTGCGCTGGAAAGGAGAGCACTGGCATGGAGACGCTGAGCAGAGCGGCAGCCACCGCGCGCGCCTGGAGCCTCGCGAGCTGCCCGCGCGCTCTGCGTTGGGGAGCGCAGGCACTGCCGGGGGTCGCCTGCTGCTGCTGCCTGAGACCCGCTCGGTGTTAAACCCAGCTGTGGCTCCCCAGTAGGACACAGACTAGACGCAGCAGCCGCGCGTGCACGCGTAGGAGCCCAGGGGGAGCCTGGGATCTGACCCAGTTTTCCTACCTTTGTCACCTCCTCTTGGCAAGATTGTCCCCTCTCCCAACCGCCCTGAGTTCTYGGGCCCCATTAATGGTGCCAAACTCGGGGCTTGAGACCCCCTCCTGCCCACGGTGTCAAGTATCAAGTGTGCCAGGGTTATTCTGCTGTTGGAGGGGCTTTAGGGCTGTCCTCTGGGCAGGTGGAGAGTGGCAAAATTTCCAAATCCTCTGCAGCTCGGTTGTAATACGTTCCCAGCTTGGTTTGAAAGCTCTGTGGTCAGTACAGTGGGTTGTGCTTGGGCATCGCGTGATGCTTCTGCTTTTGTGTTGCCTCTGGGCTCCTTTAAACCTTGTCAAAATTCTGTATCACCGCATTTCTCATACACGGATACAGTGCACTTTTAATTAAAAGAAATGTAACTGTAAACTACGTGGGTTGATTAGAGCAGAACAAGAATCATGGACTTCTTGATGTGATGTTAATTCTTTGAAAGATGGTTTAAAACTAGAAGGAGAATATGGATGTATTCTGTATTGTATTAAATTAGGAAGTCAAGTGATCTGGAAAGTTARAACTGAGGCTGTAGAGACACCAACCCTGATTTAAAACTAGATTTTGTGGTAAGGCATCAACTTTCACTATTTCTAYTTTATCATATTATATTGAAGACATATCAAAGTGAGCAGTTTGAAAATAGTGTATTAGATATGCTCTTTTGTGACTACTTAAAGAATTTGCACATTTCTTATGTTGTACTTTATACTTTGTTTACAATAAAAACAGTTTTCTTTAAGATGGATCCCTCTCTTTCCCCGCGCGCACACGCGCACACACACACACACACACACGCACACTGCCCTTCCCCCTTCTCTTTGCAGCAGGACGTGGTTAGAGTTCTTTCCTTGCCTGGCCGATCACCTCAACACCACTACGGTGTCTGTCCGTGTCTCTCTTGGGCTAGCGAGGCTCTTTCTCACGGCCTCACTCAGTGTCCCTGCTGTCCTGTGTCCCCGCTGTGGCGCGAGGGGAGGTGCTCGCCCTGGTTGTGTGGGTTCCTGACACCCACATGCCCTGCCCGGCCCCCAGGGCTTCCCCTCGCCCTGCGTCACTGCTGCCCCGCCTCGCTCCAACTTCACTTCTCTCTCCTTCCACGAGGGAAGGAGATGCTGCAGCCTCCCAAGACCGTGCAGAGTCTCCAGCTTCCCAAGCATAGGCTGCAGCCCGCTTGTAGGAGCGGTGAGGGGAGGGAGCTTGTGCTGCCCTGTCCTGCTCCGCGCTTCCCAGGCACGCCGGCTCCAGAAGGGCGTGCGAGCCGGCTCACTCAGTGAGCGCCGCGGCCGGGGGGGCTGCGTGGGGCTGCACCTGCCTCCCCCTCGCTGGAGAGGAGCACGGGGGGCCACGCGCCGCTGCTTTCAGCAACCCGAGGTGGAAAACCCGGCCCCCCGGCCYGCGGCAGTGCCCCCCTCGTCACACACAGCGGCTGCAAGAGCCCCGGGAGGATGTCCCCTTGCCTGTGCTGGCGCGTGGGACGGGGTGGGTTAGTACCAGAAACCTCTGGTGCTTGGATGCTGCGGGTGTCACGTAAGCAGCCTCTGCAGCCYGGTGCGTTTCTGGTGCTCGTTGCAGAGCTGGAGCAGTAGGAGCAGCAGGAGGAAGGCCTGAACAGCCCCAAGAAGGCCTGAACAGCCCCAGAAGCTCCAGCCCCTTCCCAAGCTCCGTAAGAACAGGAAGGAAGAGTCGGCAATGCAGGCGGGTCTTCACGAGGACTAATACACGCAAAGCAATTAGTTCATCCCAGCCCATGCACATCCATTTCCAGGCCTTGCGCTGTCGGCGTATCCAAACAGCATCCCGCCCGGAGCCCCTGCCAGGCAGCTGGAGCGCCGTACGGCTCCCCAGACAGGAACGCTTCTGTCTTGGGTAAAGACATTAGGTCAAAGCTTCAGGTAACGCAGGTCCATTAAAGCCAGTGAATCAAGAGCAATTAAACACCCACGGAGCCGAGCGAGGCGCTGGGCGGCCACGCTCTGCAGTGTGTGGAGCTGGAATTACTCAGCAGAGAGAGGCTCCCAGGATCCAAGGCAGTTCTGTGAGCAAAAGGCAGTAAAATTTCTTGCTTTAAGTGCAAAATTTAACAGTGAGGACATGCACCTTTGATTGCTTCCAGCTGTGGACAGAGCCATAACTGTGAATCTACCTCACTTACTCTTTTATTAATGCTTAACCATAGAAGCAAACACTGGAAATGAAACAAGTTATTCAAGTGTTTAATCCAAGTCTAATCTGGAAAAAAGTAGTTGAAATCCGGGACAGCATTAGCCACCTTTTTATTGCTGAATTCATTGTGCAATCAGATTTTGCTGCATGGTATGAAACCCCAGTAGCCAGGGGCCTCAAAATGGTTTTGCAGCTTCTTCAGCTTGCTGCAGGGAATTATGTTCCCCTTTCTCTTCCCTTTAAAGCCCACGCGACCTCCGGATGTTCTCCTGCCTGGGGTGTGGGGGACTCGAGGATGGAGCCCAGCGCTCCCAGCAARGCCCTTGCCGGAGGGCAGGGAGGCACCAGCCCCCCGGCTGCTTGTGGGGCTTTGGGCTGCCCTAGGAATCTGGTGATGGGTGGCACAGGATGGGACATGAGGTGGGTGCTGGGGCCCGCGTCACCCGGTTATGGCTCTGGTTATTGCCCCTGCCCAAAGCGCTGCAGGTGACGGTGCCGGGAGCTCCCGCCAGGAGCGTGCGGTGATGGAGCCGCCTTTGCTGCCCAAGGGGTGTCCAAGCGCTCGGAAGGGCGGGAGRGGAGCTGGAGGAAACCCCCCTGCTCCCTTGTGGAGCAACAATTCCCATTCCGGCAGACGGTCGGTGAGGAGAGGCTCGGACGCCACGGASTCAACTAAGATGTGTTTAAGGGAAGGGGAGGCCGGAGCCGGGCCGGGCGCCGCGGTGCAGACGTGGCGGGGCCGGCGGCTGGCGCGGGGCTCGCGCGCCACATGCCGCAGCCATCGGTGTCCCCGGCAGCGCCCGCGCCGACTGTAAATACATGATTCATCCGTCTGCTTTGGCAACAAACCTCCATCGCCAGGGAAACACTTGCGAGCTGTCAGGAAAGCCGCAGCCGAAAGCGGGTCAGGAGAGGCGGCGAGCGGGTGAGTGTCTGTGCCAGGGGCTGGCGCTACCCGCTGCTCCGCACCAGGGCTTTGCTGCGAGGGGAAAAGCGCCTGAGGACAGAGGGGTTAACCCTCAGGCGGAATAAATATCCTGGGATGTGTCTTGTGAGGTTCAGCGCTTGCACGCAGTCTTTTCCAGGGATATTTGGTCTGGAATGCATTCTGTTTTCGCTGGAAGAAAGGGCGGTACTTGAGCAATGGGGAGTCGAGAGCCGAGCCCTCCTCGAGCTGCCTCTCGTGCTCAGGGCAGCGCCCGGGCCGGGCTCGCGAGCGTTGCTGTACTTGTTGTGGTGCAAACCACGTACTAAACACCTACAGTGCATCAAACAACGCGGAGTCTGCACCGGGACGGCCCAGCCCGGGGTGCCTTTGTGCTCCTTGGCCTCTCCCCTCTGCCCGCCTTGCCTCCCGGCGCTTGCAGCGCAGCCAAGAGGCGCTGGCGGCTGTCAAGTCTGCTCTCCAAAACCTCCGCCAACTTATCATTTCATTAAGGCAGCCCGGGCTGGGATCCATCACGTTGTCAGCATTTAATTGTGAATCCCGGGCCCTCTGACGCGAGCGCCGCATGACTGGCGCTTGGCACTCGCCGCGAGCAGAGATCGCAGGCGTTGGCAGCACGTCGGCTGCRGAGATGGGGCTCTTAATGTTGAACTGAACAACAACTTGGCGGCTGGAAAACACAACCTCTGCCTCCCCGGAACGCAGGGGAAAATGGGGAGTGTCGCGGGCGGTCTGACCAGAATTGAAGAAAACAATATGCAAAGGGTACGTTAATGGCCCCAAAAGTCAGAACTTCCATTTCCTCCGAGCATCTGTCCCGGCTCCTTGGTGGCAGCGTTTACGGTGTGCAGCAGGAGCAGTCATGAGGCAAAAAGACRGTGAGAAGCGTCTGGAAAGGCCCGTGCACAGGCCTGCTTCATGCTGCATGTGTCTTACACGGRTGCCTTTTAGCCATACTCTCTGCAGCCGTGGGATAGCAGGAAGCATTTTCAGTCTTTCCATGGGAAAACCTCCAAAGCAGCTAGCTGTGACGCTGCAGCTGGCGGGTTCTTCTCCACCTCTGCAAGGGACTTTTCAATGCCCCATTCCAGCRAAGCCACAAGTCTGATGAGTCTACGGTGAGTCACCAGGCCAGGAGAAAAAGCTGCCGGAAGACCGGGCTATTTATAAAATGCAAAAGAAAGAAAGGAAATGCATTCTAGATGCAGCCAGAGCTGGAAGGTGGGTCTAACATCCCTGGAGGGATTGAGTGTTCCTAGGCCCTGGAAGGAGAATCTCCCAGGAAGGATGGAAGAGCTGCCACTCCGTGGGCCCGCACGGGCTGCGGAGCCTCCGGGCCGCCCCAAGGAGGAGGAGGACGTGCTCCAGCCCTGGGGAAGACCTGTGGCCCCCTTGCCCAGAGCCCTTGTCACGTCTCTGCCGGGCTAGCACGGCCCACGCAAGCCCATAGTCCCGAGGAGGTCC